TGGAAGGGGCTTTCGGCATGTGGCAGTGCGCCAGCTTCCCACAGAAGCCACGTGAACGCATGACGGGCTTGCATTGCTTCTATGGCTACGGGGTTATCTTTTCCAGGTCCTGGTTTCATCATCACTGGGAATGGCCGATGTCTGGTGTCAGGCCTAAGGGGATGGCCTGCGTGATGTAGCAGATGTGGACAGTCTGTATAAAGGATTTTCATGCAGCTGACATAATTACCCATTATATGTCTCCTTCGAGCAGGTGGCTTGAGCCGCAGCCATTTGGATGACGATCGCTTCAACGCGAGACATTGCTTATGCTTGCACTCTCGCTTGCCAGCTTTGACACGGACGCATCCGCGACTAGTGACCTTTCCCCTATAGAGGTTGTTGTAAGTAAATGTTGCACGTCTCTCTTCAATGCTGGCCAGCGACAAGATGAGCCGTGGGGATGCTTTGCCCCCTGCAACCTCCTGCAACGCTCTACAAGCACAAAGTCTTCACCGAGGTTGTCCAGAGAAAACCGAAAGAAGAGCTCCTTATCACGACAGTGTCTCGGGCCGCAAGCTTACGTAAGGCTGATACAGGCTGACGCATGCTGATACTGAGATGGTGTGTGGCGCTCAATGTCAAGTGGGCACAGTTTTATCCTTCCCCTGGCTTGGTCTCATTCTTTGTTGACCATGTCCTGCCATACATTCTGTTCGAAACTCGCCAGTCAGCTGCCCTGCCGGAACGACCCTCGCGTGTTATCATCGCCTTACCATGTTCGCCACAAGCCTCAATCTCTGAAGGCCTCACATCCCACCCACCATCGACCGCTCCAGCGAGTAGTCTGGGGAGTAAATGTATGCCGGCCCAGTGCACGAAGAAGACCAGCATCGCAGCTTCCACCGGTGGACGGGCTTTGCAGTGTCCTCGGTTTCAAAAATATAAACACACCGGTCAAAGCTCGCAGTGTCAGAGCTTTGATGCTCACACCTCTAAAAAAATCCGACAGGCTCAGCCACAAACTCCATATTAGCCATGCGTTTCCCCAGGTGTGTCCAACCCCTCTCTACTCCGGGCAGCATCGAATGGTAGCTCCAGGCGGTGGTCTGACGCCCAGTTGGTGATCTGAGCGATTTCTCCATGCCAATACTCCATGTTCTTCCGAAAACGCTATAGAAAAACACACAACAGTTCTGTAACAGACCTGCCTTACAAACACCGCACATGCTGCCAAGGAATGGCCTGTGCCAGGCCCTGCCGGCGACATGTAGCCATGGAAGCAATATCATGCCGGACTTCGACTTTCATTGCACATGTCACAACCACGAGATGCCAAACAGATTACTTATACTGTCAGTATGATGGCAACCACGGGCGAGGCCTCGAAGGGTTCTGCATCCAGGCTGTAGGTCTTCCGGAACAGAGGCGCGGGAGGGGCATCCGCATCAGCGCCATCCTGTCTACGCACAGCAGGTCTAGCTGTTCCCGTGTTGTCTTGGACGGTAGAGACGGTTCCGAAATCGACCAGGCATGCAAAGGATCCTGCATTGGAGCCGCTTCTTCGAAGGAGCTGGCAAGCGCCGACACAAGGCGAGAAAGCGGCATCGGCACGGATCC